TAATAAACAAGGAAACCTAGCCAGAATTCGACTACTCTTTTCTATCTCAACCAAACCTCATCAAACTTACCTACACAGAAAATAGCCTAACCTAACAGTTCTATAATAAACCGTTCACAAGGCTCAATATTCATAGTCCAAAGTCACAAGTCAACAACCAACATGTATCACGTAAATCAAGCTCAATGTCAAGTAGATCGATCACAGGAAACTAGTACATTAATCAGAAGTAACAAGTAAGCCACACACAAGCATATAAATGCATCAAATCACAAGAATCAATCTCTTGCCAAAACCATTTCCCATCTGCATACTATCACTATCCAATACCAGTTCACATCGACTTTATATCAAATCACTAGCCAGAATCATTTCCCATCGAATTTATATCAAATCATTAGCTGGAACTATTTCCCATCGGTTTTATAACAATCACTAGCCAGAACCATTTCCCATCGGTTTAATATCAATCATCGGTAAAGACCTCGACATCATAACAATCTCATGTCTCATCACAGCGTTCAACAATCAATGCACTCAAGCAATATCACACCATCCGAAGAAACAACAAGTCATGTAATTCAACTCCACATTCAAGCCATCAAGGCATTTAATCACATCAATCAAATAGGATCACAACAAGTCAATTCACAGATTGTCGTTATCATCACGAAGCCTTTTCATTTATCCCTTCATTATTTATTAACATTAATCAAGTGGAGCAATAAGAACCTTCACCTGAATCCCGATTACTCCCTAACGGACATACAATGAAGAAAAGTAAACCATTCTACTAGATTACAAAACTTAAGAGATCATTTGCCTTAAATCAATCAAATATCACCCTAAGAGTTGAGTCTTCCCCTTCCGAATCAATTCCAAAGCCACACAATCTATAACAATCAAGTATTCACAATCACTCATCAGAGACAACAATTCCCACACCAATTATATAGAGAAATGGGTCAATCAACTCAAAACTCAATTTCAAAAAGGGGGTTAAAATCCAGAAAACAATACTTGAAAATGATGTTTAAAGGTATAGGAACTCATTAGTGAAAACCATTTCGAAAAAGAGATCAAAATCACTATTTTAGATCAAAACTCAAGTTCTTGCAAAACCTTGTCATTTTTCAATTCAAATCCCAAACTATGATGTTAGAATCCATAAATAAATAAAGGGAAATAAAGTTTTAGGATTATAAAAGCTTACCCAAACGATTTAGCACAAGAAGATCTTTCACAAATCACCTCCAAGGGTTCCAAGCTCATAAATGGAAAATGGGGAATAAACCTAAAAAATGGCAGGCGAAAATCCTCCCAGGTGTCGCTTAAGTGACCAGGGGTTCGCTTAGCTAAAAGCTCAAGTCTCGCTTAAGCGATCTGACCTTCGTTAATGCAGAGGTAGCTTAAGCGGAAGTTCTTCGCAAATTCGAAGGTCTACAGGGGTTGACCCTTCACAAAAGCGGCCCAAACCTCGCTAAAGAGAGTCCCGCAAGAGCGAGCCATCTCTCGCGAAAGCGGAGTGAACCAGAACAAAGACATCAAAAAATTAGCCAACACTCTAAACCTCGAAAGGACCCTTGGGATTCATTCGGAACCCCATACATACAACCACATATGCAGATCAATTATGTTCAATGTTCCGGACTCAATGGAACAGTCAAAATAAAAATCTGAGATCTCCTTGATCTGACATCTGTGAAAACCATAAGAAACTAACTCACGCCTAAAAAGGTTAAAACAAACTCGAGACTTCTCAAAAATCAACCAAGACCGCACCAGGCCTAAAATTATCCCCCGAATCTAAAGGAATTCTCATAATTCCAATCTGAGTATTCAAACCTTGAATATTGACTAAAGTCAACCCAAAGGCTAAAATTCCACAATTTCACAACTTAGAATCTCACATCCTCAAAAAAGACTCAGAATCTGAAACAGACAACTTTCATAGCCAAAATTTCACATTTCGAGACTAATGGAATGGACTGAATTCCATTATGACACTTGAAACTCCAAAAGACACCAAAAATCACTTTCTTAATAACATAGCCTTTCAAACTCAAAACTTGCCAAATTCTCAACTTTTAACTCAAAGTTCGAGAGTAATTTTTTCAAACTCAAACATAAAAGACTCGGGATCGATCTCGGGAGGAGAAAATGATGAATTTATAAAACTTTCCAAAAATTACCAACTAGGTCATTACATCTTTAGCCTTTGCCATTAATACTCCATTGGAAAAAGTAGTCACAAAGATCATTAAGGAAAAAATAGAGATCTTTTCAGAAATCCGGGAGTAGAACTTGAGATTAAGGTGTAAAAATGACAAAGACATGATAAATAAAATTATCGTATTTATGAGATTAGGGTTATACGTACAATTAATTGTTTTAAAAAGTATAACAATTTTGTATACTTTTATAAATAAAAAGTTAGAATTCGTGGAATAAACAAAAAAACATCAATAATCCATATTTAGAGTATGAAACTACGTTGATATGAATTAGGAGATAATTATACTTATATTTCTAGAGTAATGTACAAATTCCATTAGTCTGTCGTCAGATCATGAACTTAATATCTCATGTAATGATGTAGAGGTAAAGAACTAACATATAATTTTCCGAGTATGAAATGCGAGATGATACTCGTAGAAATCATGTCAGGATAACAATTAATTAAATTTTATATTTATAATTAATTGTTTAATTATTTGTACGTATAACCTTCAATATCTTATCTCGTGAAATAGACAATAGAACATCGTAAAGTACTGTACAAAGCAAGTTCTATCAAGTTTTTTACGTTCGATCTTGAATGAATGTCAAGTGTAGTGATCACACCGTAGGCAATGACATGTAAAAGATAATTCATCCAAGTATGAAATATGTTGATTATATACTCGTCGAGTAGTTTAACAAACCAAGTCTTATATATTAATGTTCCAGTTATGAAATATATTATCTATTAAAGAAATACCGATGATCAATTTGAGGAGATTGATATATTAAATTTGATATTGATAAACTTTTGTTGATCAATAAAATTAAATTTATATAATTAGCGATTTTGTCTAAAATTATGTATTATAGTATCGCTAATTTACAAAATTATCAATTATTATTATTAAATTATTTTTATTATTATTAAATTATTATATTTATCGATAGTTAAACTCGAAATAACTACTTTATTTAAATGTTTTTAAATTTAGGTGTGTTTAATCTATATGAAATTACTTTAATATATGTAGTATTTTCTTAATTGACTAACATTTCCTTAATCTCCCCTTAAATCATTTAAATCATAACCTCTCTTGTTCAATTTGTTTAATTCATAGCCCTCTTCCAATCCGATTCCATTTCAACTCCAGCCTTTCATATTCAATTTCATGTCAATTATGGCCATTTGCTTATTTTAATTATTATAACCTTTCAACACTTTTCAATTATAGCCTATCTGATTCAATTCAATTCTCAAAAGCCCCATCCTTTAATCTCAGCCATTCGTTCATCCAAATCAACTACGATCAAATCTTGATCATCCATATCATTCAAACCAAAGGCTAAGATCAGATCTTCATTCTTATCTATTTTAAACCAAAAAAAACAAAGGCAAAAGGGTCTGGTAGACCCTTATACTTGACTCGAATTGTAAAGTGGACCCTTCTACTTCACAAAGTTTCAACTGGACACTTCAACTCAAACAAACAGAGAATTTTAAGTCCCTTTGACCATTGACCAGCCTTAGGTGGCATTAATTTAGCTGAGTTGAAAAAATGTGTGTTACACACGCGAAACATGAGCGTGAATTGAATTAAAAAGTTAAGAAAATTAAATAAAAAGAAAAAATAAATTTACCTACTTTAAAAAAAAAGGCAAAAAAAGAAAAAAAAAAAAGAAGATCCCTTTCTTCTTCAAACCCACTCACCCACTTTTTTGGAAAATAGTAGATCTCTCAACTGCTATATCCATATCCTCTCTATTATCGATTATTTTTTCTTGAAATCGTATTTTTCCTCACTTTTCAATTGAACACAACACGTTCATCAAAAATCCAAAACAAAAATAATTGGAAACGAAAGAAAAAAATCTTCTCCAAATTGAAAGCTCAAAATGAAATTGAAGAAGGATTTTTGCTGCTACTACTTGCTTCTTTTTATCTCTTTAGAAGCAAAACTTCTAAAAAAATAAAAAAACAAATTTTCATCTATCTTTTAAATCATAGATACAACTTTGAAATTTTCATATTTCTTGATCTTTCTTTTTTTCAAGTTTGATTTTTTTTTTCAATTTCAAGCTTTTTGGTGTCAAGTTTAGTTGCTTTCTTCTAATATCAATTTTGATGAAATTGTAAGCTCAAATGGGGCTGTCAAATGTTAATGAACTTTCTTTTGGGTTAGGGTTCTTGAGAACAAAGGGAAAAATATTTTTTTAAAGTAATTGTTTGTTTAATAAAATAAATATATAAAAATAGCATTGTGACAATTAAATTAATGAGATGGATATGATGTGGCTTTTTTTTTTGGACGTGAATATGATGTGTCATCCATGTCAGATCGAGTGAGGAACACCGATTGACATAAGGTTTAAAATTTCTATTTTGTTTGAGTTGAAGTGTCTGGTTAAAACTTTAGAGAGTAGAAGGGTCCAGTTTACAATCTGAGTCAAGTATAAGGGTCCACCAGACCATTTTGTCAAAAACAAAATCCTAAGTCATCACCCTTCGGGGTGGCCCAGTGGTTTGGGCTTGGGACTTCCATTTTGGAGGTTTCAAGTTCGAAACCCCTTGTCAGCGAAAGCAAGGGATTTGCCTATTGGGTCGAGCTCGTCGCATCAGGCTTACCTAGTGCGGGTTACTTCTCCTATGTGATTTGCGAGCTATTGCATAGGAGCGGGGTTTTACCCTGCGCGCACCCAAAGGATACCGACAGCGGATTCCCTTGTCATCAAAAAAAAAAAAAAAACCTAAGCCATCCATCTTTCTTCATCTTCCTCTCATCTCCTCCTCCCCTATCTGTCACTCTCCTCTATTGTCTTAGCAGCTCAGGCGAAGCAGCGAACGGCGCCGGCCAGCGAGCAGCCGCGAAAATCAGCCGGCGACCGGGCGCTGCCTCCGATCCGTTCTTCTCGCCAGCAAGCGAAGGCCGCGCCGGTCCAGAAGCAGCGCGAGGACAGCCCCGACTAGGCGAGCCTCTTTCTCTCTTCTCCTCCGCTCCAGTGAGGACGACAACAACAAACATCAGCTCCAGCTTCTCTGACCAGCGAGCAGCCAACTCCGGCGAAGGCAAGGTAATCACCGGCGAACCCCATCGAAGACGACAACAACAACTGCGAGCCAGCGAGACCCTTGCATCTCCATTCCTCTCCTCTTCGGCGAAGTTCTAGTAATCCAGGTATTTGATTAATCATCATACATACATAACAGTACTTAAAAGCTAAATTGAAGTTTACATGGTCCAACAATTTCTCGAACACGTCTGTAAATAACTCTAATATTAGAACTCTAAAACTATTCAAATTTATTTAAGCTCTAGTTATATGATACTGGCAAAACTAGATAATCAAACTTGGGATGGAAGGAGATACAATGTCCGTGAATGTAGATTTATTAGGAGTCTAGACTCTCAAGAGAAAAACTAACTCTTGACTCACTTGAGCCTTTATCTCAAAATGAAACTGACACTCTGAAACAATAGAGTTCATTCCAACAATCTTTGTATGGAAACAAGAAGATATACTGTTCCCATGTAATTTGTGACATTCATCAGTCATCTTACCCAAGAGTCAATTGTATGGAAGTTAGTGAGCACTCTTCTGCATTTATTTTACGTAAAGACCGTCTTTGTTTGAAAGATATACAAACACACCACTGGATAAAACAAACAGGAAACCTTAGAATTAACAAGTGGAGCTTAGGTATAAATAGCCATGTCCTATTGGAGAACCATTCAAGTCAACAAGGCAGAAGCAAGAACAGTCAGTCACTGCTGCCAATATGTATGCACATATGAAAATAGAAAGGCTGCATGAAGTAGTAGCATCAAGTCAAACCATTTTACCTTTGAAGTATGGAAACCACTAACATGCACACATAGATATTTGAAGTTTATATTTAACTAAGTTTTGAACTTTTCGTGCTAGGCAACTGAGGAAGCTCAACATCTAAAATAGTTGATACAAGACTATATTGCTTCTTTCATCAAAGTAGGAGATAAGGTTGGTGCTTCTAAATTTCTAAAGTTCAAGTACAATTGTTTTCTATAATGTGTTTGTGTCCATCTAGTATTGATACTTAACTTTAATTTTGTGATAATTTGTTTGTGTCCATCAAGGGTTGGCTTAGCGTTAAGTGCTATTAAGCTTTAATTTAGGAATAATGTGTTTGTTAAGCATAAGTACCAACACTAGTTGATCCTATTGATGACAAAATTGATTTTCTTGCAAGATCGATTTGTGTCCATCTAGTGTTGACACTTAGCTTTAAATTTAGAAATAATATATTTGTTAAGCATAAATATCAACACTAGTTGATCCTATTGATGACAAAATTGATTTTCTTGCAAGATCGATTTGTGTCCATCTAGTGTTGCTATTAAGCTTTAATTTAGGAATAATGTGTTTGTTAAGCATAAGTACCAACACTAGTTGATCCTATTGATGACAAAATTGATTTTCTTGCAAGATCGATTTGTGTCCATCTAGTGTTGCTATTAAGCTTTAATTTAGGAATAATGTGTTTGTTAAGCATAAGTACCAACACTAGTTGATCCTATTGATAACAAAATTGATTTTTCTTGCAAGATTGATTTGTGTCCATCTAGTGTTCATACTAAAGCTTTAATTTAGGAATAATGTGTTTGTTAAGCATAAGTACCAACATTAGTTGATCCTATTGATGACAAAATTGATTTTCTTGCAAGATCGATTTGTGTCCATCTAGTGTTGATATTAAGCTTTAATTTTGGAATAATGTGTTTGTTAAAATTATTTATAATAATATCAATTCAAAACCAAATCTTAAACTAAAATAATTGTTTTTTTAAAAAAAAAAAAGTTAAAGAGAGAGGGAGACATAAGAAAAAGAGAAGAAAGGATGGAGAGAGAAAGATGGACTAACAAAAAAAAAGTGGGAGTCTACTAAATATGTATTTACCTATTTCTGATAATAAGAATAGATTGAGAGACTATTATATATGTATTTAGTTATTTTTGGCAAGAAGAATAAGACTAATTTATGTAAGAGTAAAAGATATACTATAAGTCTATAACTCATAAATAATAATATATTATCCATGTATTCACCGTTTTTATATTTGAAAAATGTAAAATCATATCTTCTTAAATAAAGGCTTTAGAGAATTTGAGATTCTATCAAAATAACATATATAAATATTAATTTCATCTCATAATTTCAAATTACGGTAACTAAAATTTTAGGTTTAGCAATCCTGAGAGTTTAGAAGGTTGTGATTGGTCCAAAGGGCGGGTCACAGACGGATTTCTCGGTTATCAAAAAAAAAAAAATTTTAGGTTTAGCAAACATAAAAATCATATTTATATGTTATAGCTATAGTTTGCATAATTGCGCTCCATAACATATTTGTATGTTATGTTTGCTACAGAGCATCAGATTTGTATAAATCGCTGGCAGACCTCTCGTTTGTATAAAAGTGCAGCGATTGTATATATGTATATCAGTTAGATAATTATATATATGTAATTATTATGTATATGTATTAATGATTCTTTTTATATATATACATAAAATTTGAATTTGTATATAATTGAATCAATAAAACATTTGTATATAAAATCTCTCTCTCGCTTTATACAACACAAATTATACATAGTAATTTGTATAAAGCGAGAAAGAGAAAAAGGCAAAAGAGAACTGGTAGGGGAAGATCTATATTTGTATAATTATAAGTGTATACGACGAAAATATATGTATTTGTATATATAGTTTTCTCTCGCTTTATACAAACACAAACACAATTTATGCATTTGTGTTTTATTTTTTGAGAAAGTTAATTGGTATTATAAACATAGAAGTACACCAATAGTGAACTCCTGTAGTAATTACATCAAAAGTATAGAGGTGCATTTGTGTTTGTATGAAGTGAGAGAGGCGAGGGAGAGTGAAATTAGCTGGGGAGAGAGGCGAATGGCAAGTGTTCACTACGAATTACAATTAAATGAAACTGTGGTTATAACATATAATTTGAATTAATAATTTGCTATTTTATATAATTTTCTCAATTAATAAGGAGACTTTCCAAATGGTTGCTAAGTGAAATTTAATGACGAAAATACCCAACATCACATTTACACGATCTCCGGCCATGATTGCCGTCAGAACCTACCTTCGGCCACCAGGTAATGCTCTCTGCTATCTCTCCGACTCTATTTCTCTTTCTAATCTCACCCACGTATAAATTTGGTAACTTGTAAGTTATGTTCTATGCCATGAAACTGAAATTTGAATTTTTCTACTTATTTGTGGGTTCTCTGAATACATTGTGGAATGCTGTTGAACTATAAGTCCAACAAATAATTGGGAGACTATTACTTGTGCTCATATTTTGAGCTGATTTTGACAATTATGAAGTAACAAGGTGAATTTTGGTAGTTTTTCTTTCCCATCTACAAGCAAAATTCCATCATTTTTTTTCTTTTCTCCCATTTATATGGGTTTCCATAAGCTTTTCCGTTCTTTTTTTTTCTTCATTTATTCACTTGTCCATTTTATGGCATTAAATTCGATATTTTAGTTGCACTCAAGAATGTGGTTTAGTGGTCATAGAAGTAGGGGAGTATGAAGAGGGCTCCAATTCAAATCCTAGTGAAAGCAAAAAACACTAGGTGATTTTTTTTCATCTGACTAAGTGGGTACACCGTATACCTGAACTAGTGGGAGGTAGTGAGTTCCCAGTGAAATAGTAGAGGTGCACGCAAAATGGCCTAGGCACCTGGAAGATCTTTCACTTTTCTACTGTCACCAAGTACAATTGTTTGCAACTTCCTTTTACATAGGGAGGTAAGTAAAGATGATTGTTACATTTTTCACCGATGGTATCAATAACAATACGATGGAGCAAAGACAAAGGTGAGAACAATGGGAGGTGACTCAAAACACAAATTTGCAGTGCGCAGGATGTTGGCATAGAAGTGAGACTTCATACTCAAGTCATCCCCATGAGAGGATGTTTCAAGTATCTTGGGTCTTTAATTCAAGTTAATGGGGAGATTGACGATGATATCACAAATTGTATTAGGCAGGATGGGTGAAGTGAAGGCTCACCTCTGGAGTCTTGTGATAAAAACTACCACCTAAATGTAAAGGTAAGTTCTCCAGAGTGGTGGTTAGACCGACTATATTGTATGGAGTGGAATGTTGGTCAGTCAAGAACTCTCATGTTTTGAAAATAAAAGTTGTGGAAATGGGGATGAATGTGTGCATACTAGAATAGATAAGATTAGGAATGAAGATATCCCCAACAAGATGGGAGTGCCCCTCATGGTGGACAAAATGAGAGAAGCAATATTGAGATGGTTTGAACATGTAAATAGGAGAAACATAGATGTTCCAGTAAGGAGGTGTGAGAAGTTGTCAATGGTGGCCTGAAGGAGAGGTAGGCCAAAGAAGTACCAAGGGAGGGTGATTAGACAGGACACAATGCATCTTTGGCTTACCGAGGACATGACCTAGAAATAAGGATTTTAAGGTCACCAATTACAGTAGAAGGTTAGTTGAGCATTCTCTCACTTTCCTGCAGGGCAGAATAGGTTGTTGTATTACATACTCTCTTACTAATTGTATTAACACTATTCACGTAGTTTCTTGTTTGTCGATTGTAGTTACCATCTGTGTTTCCTATGCTTTGCTTATTGCACTAGTTTGTTGTTAATTCTTCTGTATGCTATGTATATCTTTCCATAGCGATCTATTTCGTTGTTACTACTTCTTTCATTTTCATATTCTCTTTCTTAAACTCTATTGAGATGTTTTACTTGAGCCGAGAATCTATCAAAAACAAGTTCTCTACGAGGTAGGGGTAAGGTTTGCGTACTCTACCCTCCCCTAAATCACTTGTGGGATTACACTGGTATGTTGTTTGTTGTTGGTTTTGATAACAATAATTGCAACGGCAAACTGGATGATCACCTAGTTGATACTTCGGGTCATTGATTTTATGTATTGTACATTTGGATTGATTCTGAGAAGGAAAACAGATTTACCACATTTAATGTCTGAAAGACAGAAAAAAAAGGAAATAAAAGAGGAGAGACTTTACCGTTGCATAGTCATTTGTTTTCATTAAATATTTCATCATTAGCCAGAACATACTGTTGGACATCACTCTGTGACAGATTACTTGGTATCAGGTTTTGCATGTCAACTTATATTAATGAATGTTGAACTTTGTCCAGGAAACTAGGAGTGATCACGATGGGACTTCTCAGCATTATCCGAAAGATCAAGCGAAAAGAAAAGGAGATGCGCATCCTTATGGTGTAAGTCTACAAGCTAACCTCTAACATGTGGCATGGAGGATTTTTGTATACATAGTGTATTTATTGACTAGTTATTTAATTCTGTTTATTATATAGGGGTCTTGACAACTCTGGTAAGACAACAATAGTGTTAAAAATAAATGGTGAAGACACAAGTGTCATCAGTCCAACTCTTGGCTTCAACATCAAAACCATTACATATCAGAAGTATGGTTTCTCTGCTTTCTTTCTGTTTTGTTTCTTAGATCTGCATTCTGTTATCCTGCTTCAATAATGTTTTGATTCCTATTTATAGTTGTTACTCATTTAACTGTAACCTACATGTTCAAGATGTATTTTGTCAGGCAATATTTATGTGATTAGTTGAATCCTAAAATTAGAATTGGTTCATTTAAACATACTCTTGATTCTTACCTTTTGAATTACTTTCGAGGGCATTGGTTTATGATGTCAATTAATCAACTATATTTTTATCCTGAAACAGTTGGGATCAGCTATATGAATCCTCCGTGTACTCATTGATAGCCTATTTTTTTACATTACATCAACCTACCACACCCTTTTTTTTTAATTCAAGCTTGGGCATGACTATGTTTTGCATAGCAAGTAGAGTTCTCGGTTTTATCCTGCCAGAGACATAAATTTTTTGGGGCTTCATTAGTGAAGTCCAGAGTCCAAATTAAAGCTCATTCTGCAGAGAACCAAAAAATACAATGCCAAAACTGTAATTCAAAATTCAGTTGCAGATTCGATTTTCTATAAAATCATTGCATGTGAGACAACAAAAGAACTTGGGAAAAACTCAAAAAAGACTACTAAGGAAGTGATTGAGTTAGACAAATACAGATTTGTAATTTGAAAAGAGATTTTGAATCTCTTAGGATGAAAGAATGAGACTATTACTTAGTGTAATAACAAGATTTTTTTTTAATCGTTAATAGAATCAGGTTGCTTGGCAAGGATTTCAAAGATGACAGAATAGTTGAAAAAAATTCTTGTGACAGTTTCAGAGATATTCGAATCTAAAATCTCCCGTCTAGAAGAGTCTAAAAATCTCTCTATTGTCTCTGTTGAACTACTGTTTTTGTTAAAGAATTAGTAAGTGTTCTTCAAGCACAAAGAAGAGCCTTTATAATTTATATAAGACAATGCAACTGTGTGTGCTTTTATAAACAAAAGAGAAAAGGTTAATTATCCTTTTTACGGATACTTCAAAAAGAAAACACACACCTAGAACAAAAATTATTGGTGGAGACCTATTGCAATATGTGGAAATTTCAAACAAACAAACCATATTATGAAAGTTGCAAGTTCAAAGATGTTCAAAACAATCCTCCATCACAAACAACAAAAGCATAAGTTGAGGAGGATCAACTTTTCAGATTGCAGTAATTGAAGCAAAGGAAGAGTGTTGAATATTTGCTTTTGTTAGTGTTGATTTACTAGAATAATTAGTTTAGTTGTAGGAGAAGTCTTTGTTCTAATTTAAAATTTTAGGTTTAGTTAGATAAGTCTAAGTGATATATTTGAGGTTTTTAAAATTTTATTCTACAGAATTTTGCACATTTTTTGTTTTTTAATTGACTATTTAACTCTCTATACTTAATAAAACTTCAGAGACAATTTCAATCAGTTCTAATAATTTTGCTGCTCCATCCATTTAAAAACACAACAGAAACAGAGTTATGTCAGCATGTATGTCTTTGAAATTACTATCTGGTGTGTTTAAATCATTTTAGTAGTTTAAAATTCCTTCTAACTGACCCTTGTTAGAAATGAGATTCTTTTCCTGAAATTTCAAAATAGCTGATTTCAAGTTAACCTGACATGCTGCAGGTATACCCTCAATATATGGGATGTTGGGGGGCAGAAAACAATACGGTCTTATTGGAGAAACTATTTTGAGCAAACTGATGGCTTGGTGTGGGTTGTGGATAGTTCTGATCTGAGAAGGCTAGATGACTGCAGATACGAGCTACATAATCTTCTGAAGGAGGAGGTATATGTCATATTGGTTCTCTTTTCTGTTGTTGAACCTCATTTATTCCCTTGTGCAAAAACTCCAATAACACATGGATTTTTAGGGTGGTTTACTGATCCAATTCCCCTTTTTCTCTTCTACTAACCACTATCGTACGAGTGTATCTAGGGGTGTGAGTCCTTCATAAGTTGTGCCAAGTAAAGGGTACAACTTGTTTGAACTTTCCTTGCTTCTATATAGTTGCATTATCATTTTTAAGACATGCAGATTTATGATTTTGGTTCTTACGATGTTTATAGGCAGCAAACCATTGAATTTGCACTTCTCCATTGGTTTATTAACCTAGTGAGATATTTTGATTCCCGAGTTGTTTTACATTGCATCTTGTTTTAGGAGACAGATGTTCTTGCTTCTTCATGTAATTATTGGATGGATGGAGTTTTTTTTTCTTTTTGATAAGGGCGACGGTGATGTGATAAGTGTCATTCAGGAAGACGTGTGTCCCCACCCTTATAAAAAAAAACTACATCCCCTAATACATGAAGAAGCAAGAGCATGTGTTCCCTAAACAAGATGTTGAATTTAATTCATAGCTGATACTGTAATACATAGGGGATGGAGTTGTTGGAACTACTTGTTCCTATTTAGCATTGTCTTAAAAGGTCTCTCCCAAATGCATCACCAACTCTAACAACTGACAATTGAGCAGTGTACAATCTACATCTTGCATGCTTTGGTTTGGTGTTACCTGCTCCATACTGTTTTAAGTGCAACATAATGGTCAAGAAACTAGGGAATAAGTTTCAGTTATGGCACAGAATGCGTGCATACTTTTTATACTGTATACCTATGCTTGTCACTCCATTTCAGTTTGTGTGGCATAGTTTGACTGGGCAATGAGGTCAAGAAAGAAAAAAAAACATTTGAAACTTATGGTTTAATCTTGTCATGGCATTTGTGTGTTTATAAGACTTTTGAAACATGTGTGGCTATAAAAGCTTTTCATTAAGGGTTGGGAAGTTTAAGTTAAATTGTTTCCAAATTTAGAAAGTTGTCATTCTTTTTGTAACAGACTAATAAGGAAATATTGCCATGTAAATTGGAACGGAGGGAGTATTTCCAGTGGTCTAAATGCAAAATAGTGAGTCAAAAGCAAGGGGATGAGTTTTCAGTAAATTCACATGTCAAAGCGCATCCAATCTCAGACTTCGTCGTGGAAATGCTGCCAGCTTCTGCTTATTATGACACTTGTTTGAATATTTTGTTATTTCAAGTTAATTAGCGTTTGCAATCATTTACATGTCATTTTCTGGCGACATTCCTTTTGCTGCATTTTCCTCCACAGTGGAGGCTTTAAGTAACGAATGTTATAACTTTGTTTGATGCAAGTTGCACCACATGTTATAGCTTCCTTCCACCCTCAGCCAAAATCATCATACTATTAATAATCTCAATTAAGATTTTTTTCTGGAAACTTATTTGTGTGGCTATGAAAATAATAAATTGTGTACAGAACCTATTTAGTGATTTTCTAACAGAACTGCCTATGCACATTTACTAGCTCTATTCATCTTGTTACATGTTTCATAATGTGGTGCCATTAGAATTTTACAAGTAGTTGCCTAACTGTCCACCCTCAGATCATCATGTTACTAATAAAGCACCATAGAGGCATAAACCTTGTTGTTGAATGTGTTTATTAGGCGATTCAAAAAGTCTTCTTTTGTGTATCTGTAACATCCTATGTGTCCCAAAAAAAGAACGTGCAAATCCCTTTTCATTAGATGAGAATAGGATGACAGATCTTGCTATCATTAAAATTTAGTGAAGGTGCATAGCTTCTTTGAATGTCCTATGGATTGACTATATCATCTAGGGACATGACTCATCCCAAAAGAGAGGTCTTTCTTTATTGTTATAAAATCCGTTTGATTGAAAAGAAAGTGTATGATGCCATAAGTAAAATGGGCGGGTGAGGCGAGACTCCTTCACTGCACTCAAGGTAGAAAGAGTAACATATCCTATACATTAGTAAGCTCTTACTCCATTATTAGTAAGCTAAGTGTTGGTTGGCTTATTCATGAAAGAACTTCCACATGTGCATCGGGGCCCTCTCATTAATAACATCTCTTTTTGATTGACCTCCTCCTTTCTTTAATTAGCAGGCACAAAGGTCAAATTTCGTTATTGAATGAATCCATTGTTGTTGTCATTTTAGTTAGTTTACCACATTATTTTCGTTTTCTTTTTGTTCTTAACAAGTTATTCAAGCACTTCAGTAAGTGATACCAGGAGTACTCTTTTTTTTTTCATTTTTATTCATTCAATACCAGGAGTACTCTGCAACTTGATTATTGCTGAAAATATTCTCTCTGATTATTCTTCATAAAGATAACAGTTCATTTCTGGTGAGGCTTGGTACGACTGGTAACAATGTAGAGCAACAAAGAGGGAACCTACAATGTCAATCATTGAAAATGATTTTTACTTGGTGCTATATGTTCTGTGCAGAGGCTATCAGGAGCATCATTATTGATTTTTGCAAATAAGCAGGACATACAAGGTGCTCTTTCTCCAGATGAAATAGCCAAAGTAAGGATGCTTCTTGTTATACCTTAAACTGTGTCAAATGAATATTGAAGTGAAGTTCTTACACTTGGAACTAGTAAGGTTGCAATCTATGATACCCTTAACAATTATGTCGAAGGTTAAGCATGAACTGTTGTTTCGTTCAAAAATCTGAAGATCCAATTATGCAAACCAATAAACTGAGAGATCACGAGAGAAGCTTCTTTCTAGTGGTGGTTGAGAAAGTACTAGGCATAAATACGCCCTTTAACTTGGCTTTAGCTGGCATGTATGCCCTCCAACTTTGGGTGTGTACAAGTAGACACTTAAATTTAAGTTACCCTTATCTCAAAAAAAAAGTAGACACTTAAATTTGTATACAATTGAACAAGTAGACACACGCATCTTACATGGCATAATACAAGTAGGATACCACGTAGGACGCAAAATTGTCATGTAGTAGGATGCATGTGTCTATTTGTTCAACTTTATACAAGTTGAAGTATCTACTTGTGCACATCCAAAGTTGGAGGGCATAGTTGTCACCTAAGGCTAAGTTAATGGACATGCTTATGTATTATGCCAAAGTATTATGTAGTAGTTTCCAAGTTACTTCAATTGACTAGTAACCTATTTCTACACAGATCTGCTTCTTTTTTTCTTGCTTCCTTCTTTTATGTATGGTCAATTATTCATGAACTTGACATTCACAGAGAGGGGTCACAACTTTTTTCTTCTGATTCAGGTGCTTAATCTGGAGGCTATGGACAATAGCAGGCACTGGAGAATCGTAGGATGTAGTGCATACACAGGAGACGGGCTACTTGAGGGATTTGATTGGCTGGTACAAGACGTTGCATCGCGAATCTATATGCTTGATTAAGTGAAGTTTACATTAAGATTTTGATTCCTGCAAGATGACATTGTTAAAATCTTTTGGATATACAACATTTGTGCATGTAAAGATAAAGAAAATCATGTAAGGAGCACTTTACTAGCTACTGCTCAAATTGACCATTTGTGAGGAAATTCTTTTAATACCTTTCCCAATATGCCAGTCTTTTGTTGTAATTGTAGCAGATTGCACAAAAAAGTGACTGTCCTTAACCAAATAAATTCACAAATTAATAATTTTTATAATATATGAGGATTGTTCTTGCTATGTACTTGGGGTCTCGTAGGTTAATGGAATTAAGTGGAATTAATAGTCATGCACCACCACCCATAGAATCAAGAAAGAACTCTCAGTCTATCAATCTTACTATGTTTGGATCTGGTAACTTTTCCCATGTTGAGTCAAATTAAGCCACAGGGATGGTGCCCTTCTGTCAATTCCTTTACGTTTCAGCCTTGCGACCATATCCTTGATTAGATAAAAGAAAAAAGTACAACATCTCGAAAGAAAAAAGAGAAGAAACAATTATTGTGGGACATTCACTAAAGAAAGGTCCTTTAATCCTTAACCAATACAATTTATTGATGTAATGCTTCTCCAGCGTCCAATTTAATATACACAAAGTCAATGTGGAAAATGAAATAATAGGAAGCGCCCAAAGGTACAAAAATACAAATAATCTGAAAAGAATAGATGGGAAAAAATGAGATATCGTGGAGCTATAGCTATGAACGTTTACTCGTTTAGCTAACTGAAAGTGTTGCTGATCACGCGTGCAGAGTCACTTGCATCACATATCAATACAGCCGGTCCTTGGTTAAGATGACTTGCCAACTCGGGCTGGAGCTTACTGTACTCGTTCACGACAAAAGTTGCAGCTTCTTCTGCTTTATCTGCTTCTACAAATGCAATACAGCAGCCTCAGAATCCTGCACCACTGAACCGTGTCCCAAGTACACCAGGAGCCTTCAGAAGAACCTGATATAGCTGTACAAGTGGTTCACAACCTAAAATAATTCAAGTGAAGTTCAAGATTTGGTTATTCTTTGTGCCTCAGACATACATTATCGAGAAAGTTACATATCGAAAACAATGAAATTAAGATATCAAGTAAGAAAATTAACACTTACCACACTCATAGTTTTGAATAGAACTTAGACCAGATGCTGTAATAAGCTCTCCGAATTCTTTAAGGTTTCCGGAAGCCCAAGCCTCAAGTCCTAAAACAGACCACACATGAGTTATGAATGGACTGTCCTAAAGCTAAACATAAAAATAAAAGGAGTAAAGATCTGTAAAGAATAATACCTTTCATAACTCTCTCATTTTCAGAGAAATAATGCTCTGCTCGTTTAGCTAGGTTGGCTACTAATTTACTCTGAAAAGAAAATTCCAAAAACATAGTATAAATACAATCAATCCATATAAAGGCGAAGAAGATTTTCACATATAGATGTCGCAAACGACCTTTGTATAATGATGGTTGAGTAATTAAACATCCAATATATACTTGTGGATTTTTACCTTGTGGGCTTCAAAAACTTCTGGTTTAACTGCATAAACAATAGATATGTTATCAACATCATCATTAAAGCTGCATCACTATTTCAATGACAAATGCAGGCCGAGTACCCTACCATTTGATAGAACAGGTTCCATCTCTTCATCCCCCGAAGCTCTAGAAGAAGAAAAAAAATACCCGTAAGTCCCGGAAATGAGAGCTGTGATATAAATCTATTAGATCTCATCAAAACTTCATCATACTTGTATTGCATTCCGAAAAAATCAATAAGATTTTATTAGTCTTTGGAATGTTTCACACTTTCAGGAAAGTCCAGAAGAAGGCTTGAAGTTCAATCATTAAAGAATGTTCATTCTTTTGGTACATTTCCTTCAGGATTAAAATATAACGTATTTGTCTTAATGGAGAGTAGTGGCCTACATCTAGGATTTACCGTTCCAAGTCTTAGTATTCAATCAATAAACGGCCATGCATTCCATGACCATAACTTGAAAAAAGAAGAAACGATTGTCATTCCAGGATGCAAGCTTCAATAATGTATGAAAATATCTTACTGCAACAGAATTTTTGCAGCCTCTTGACACTCCGCAACACGCCGATTATATCCGGGATTTGTTGTCAATGCCTGTTTAAGACCTGAAAAGGCCAGCAATATCTTGTATGCATTACCCAACTCTCCTTCATGATTATTTTGCACCGTTGGCGGGTGTATCAGTTTGTGTTTTATGGTCTGCACATGTGGTCTATAATTGTCAGAGTTTTCCAGAGAACACAAAATCTGTATCAGAAGAAAACAACAAAAGGAGCCATAATTTAAAACTGAAATTGTAACAAGAGAAAAGTTGGAGCAAATGACATAAACGAAAAGGCAAACCAACTCATCATGCAGTTTTGAATACTAACAAATAATTTCTACTTCTATGGCCAATTTCTTAATTTTCCTCCTTTCTTTCTTGCACATAGTCATGCTTGCTTAAAGTTCCTATGTTTAATTATTTCGGGATTGACATCTAAACCCTTTTCATACATCGCAAGAGCATTGCAAGTTAAATGAGAAGAGACAGTATCACTTTTTTAGCTGATGCTAAGGGAGAACAAAAAAAATTCAAGGGCAGGAAGAGCTTTCTAACAACTTCTCAAAACTCAATTAACATAAAAGATTATTTGCTAAGTCAACCATTTATTGTGTGGAATAAAACGCATCACCTTGCAGTTCATGAAGGTCAAACAGCCATAGCTGGATAACAGTATTGCAGACTGATCCAATATCCCATTTTTCAGACCTAAATATTCATTCTCAATCAGCCTGCACGCAACAAAAGTAACAAGAGATTCATACCAAAATAATGTCACAAATTAAATAGCTAAGGAAGCACTAGGTATCTTAAATGAGTAGGTATCTTAAATGAGCTTGCTAGCAACATAGACGAGACCACTGTACAGGTAGCATACCTATCATATTCAATATTTTCTGTCGGGCTCACTACAAGACCATTTGCACTTTCAAAAGCCAACAGATATGCAATACCAACCTGTTAAACATGACAATTGTTAAATGAAACTCCACAAGACAAAAGAAAAGTTATACTGAATAGGATATCTCAGTCACTGTAAGGAACAGATACTACTATAAGAAAAGAACAAAGATGCAAGGAAAGAGCGAACAGTGAGATCTCTTTTCCTTAAGGATGCAACAGCAAAAAGAAAAAAGTCCACTATAAGGCCTTACAGGGTCTGGAGAACTAACTTCACCAGATTACACGAACTTCGCTAAAATTGAAAAATAGGAACTACATTTCTTGATAGTCTAACTAATGCAAATTCAAAGGCAGTGATGGAAAACACAACTTACCGCGGCAGAAGAGCTGAGACCTGAACTGTCAAGACCCTCAGAACCACAGATAAACCCAGTGATACCCTGTGAGAAAAAGTTTCCAGCAAGAACGGTATAAATGAAAGATATGATGCACACTAAGGTTAAATATGTTAAATAGAAGAACTATACTAAATAATACAGATCAAGGTGACTGCCAATAAAATACTGCAGCTAATGAAACAGTACTTTTGACAGAAGAATGTATCCGAGAGTAGAACCACAGAATTGAACTTTTTTTTTTTTTTTTTTTTTTTTTTGATAACCGAGAAATCCGTCTGTGACCCGCCCTTTGGACCAATCACAGCCCTCTAAACTCGGTGGATAATGGGCCCGCCCCTCTACCCTTCTCCACTTAAATACCGGGCTTCGCTTTGCATGGTGTGGGGCTTGAACCTATGACCTAAGCCACAAATCCTCCACCTTTTGCCACTTGAGCTAGGCCTTGGGGGCACCACAGAATTGAACTTTGAAACCACACATTTTGTATTCAGTGGAAAATAACAATAAACACTACTGGATTTGGCCCAAGAAAAGAAGAAAGATGAAAGTAGTCATCCGTGTTAAGAAAATGGATCTTTGGGTCCAACTCAATCTTAAAAACTTAGCTCATATGAGGATTGCACAAGCCCATATAAGGAGACAATAGCCAATTCCCTCAACCAATGTGAGACACATAACACTGGAGACTGGACTAAACATCAGAAGCGTGGAGAACATTAAATGGGCCCAAAATTAAACCAAGAATAGGGCTAGTTTTATTTCTGGTACAAGGTGTTAGAATATGAATAGGTTTATACAATCCTACTAGAATAGGAATAGGTTTATACAATCCTAGTAGAATAGGAATAGGTTTATACAATCCTAGTAGAATAGGAATAGGTTTATACAATCCTAGTAGAATAGGAATAGGTTTATACAATCCTAGTAGAATAGGAATAGGTTTATACAATCCTAGTAGAATAGGAATAGGTTTATACAATCCTAGTAGAATAGGAATAGGTTTATACAATCCTAGTAGAATAGGAATAGGTTTATACAATCCTAGTAGAATAGGAATAGGTTTATACAATCCTAGTAGAATAGGAATAGGTTTATACAATCCTAGTAGAATAGGAATAGGTTTATACAATCCTAGTAGAATAGGAATAGGTTTATACAATCCTAGTAGAATAGGAATAGGTTTATACAATCCTAGTAGAATAGGAATAGGTTTATACAATCCTAGTAGAATAGGAATAGGTTTATACAATCCTAGTAGAATAGGAATAGGTTTATACAATCCTAGTAGAATAGGAATAGGTTTATACAATCCTAGTAGAATAGGAATAGGTTTATACAATCCTAGTAGAATAGGAATAGGTTTATACAATCCTAGTAGAATAGGAATAGGTTTATACAATCCTAGTAGAATAGGAATAGGTTTATACAATCCTAGTAGAATAGGAATAGGTTTATACAATCCTAGTAGAATAGGAATAGGTTTATACAATCCTAGTAGAATAGGAATAGGTTTATACAATCCTAGTAGAATAGGAATAGGTTTATACAATCCTAGTAGAATAGGAATAGGTTTATACAATCCTAGTAGAATAGGAATAGGTTTATACAATCCTAGTAGAATAGGAATAGGTTTATACAATCCTAGTAGAATAGGAATAGGTTTATACAATCCTAGTAGAATAGGAATAGGTTTATACAATCCTATTTAGAATAGAATAGGAATAGAAATAGGAATAGTAAATAGTATCCTACTTGGTAAAGGATTGTATTGTAGTGTNNNNGACTCATCTATTGATTCCAACATGATCCATATACTTTATACTAGATTTTGAGCACTTATAACGACCGC